CTCTCTCTCTCTCTCTCTCTCTCTCTCTCTCTCTCTCTCTCTCTCTCTCTCTCTCTCTCTCTCTCTCTCGCCCTGCGGACAAGTGGACATGTCATCATGAGGATAACATAGGAAACAAGGCAAAGTACTGTACGTAGAAACCAATAGAAAGGTAAAATGGAAAAGGATAGGAAGTTGCAACTTTCCCTCAGCCAAACACCGTGCAGATTAGGCTAATGACGACTATATTGGATCTGGCAAGATTGGCTGCAGACATCCAGGATTGGGGCGCATTGTGTTTTGTGGTAGATGGTAGTGGGAATAAGATGGTGGTTGTGATTACTGTGGGACATCAATTTTGCCGTCCTTGACAGGAATGAAGCATTTGGACCTTGCCCGTATGACTAAGCAGTATATGCAACTACCGATGTGTCTGGTGGTGCAAGTGAGTCATCTTCGTAAAAGAGAAGAATGCAACCTCGTGAAGGACAAGCGGCAGACGGCTGTTATACGCGACCGACGATTTGAACTTGGAAAGCGAAATATGCCCCTTGCCCGACACGAAATCAAAAGTAAGAAATAAAAGGCCCGTTTCTACTAGAAATTGGATGTAACTAGCATATCATCACACAGTAAGCCACTCAGCATAGTTTCTTTCTGCTTGAATATGTTGCAGTCTGAATACCGTGGTTCTTTTCCTTTGGTCAGTTGAACGTGATGAATGAGGGCATACTCTCACTAGGACTTGTTCCTGTGAGATCTAGGCGTGATTGCAGTCAGATTCGTCCAGGTCTGCCCTGTAATTGCAGTCAGGTACATTTATGAAAGTGTGGGAGTATGCCCTGAGAGTTACTGTTTATTTGTAATTGCAGTGTTGCAAAGCTGCATTCAGGAGGCTGTGGGTTCAATTCCTTACGCCTTCCAGTTCGGACGGGGAAATCCCACGGCCCCCTGAGGCGCACTGCGCGTTCTCCAGCTGAGATAGTCAGCTTGCCCCTCCTAGTTGGTTGGGGGGGAGTGCGAATATCCCTTCCTCCCGTCGCTCGGAGTTGGGCTCAACCCTGAGGGGATAGGCTCAACCTGTAACCCTTAGTGTAGACGGCTTGTGGTCCATACCTAACGAGTGTAGTGTTCCAGGCGAGGTAGGTAGGTAGTGGGAGGCATATTGAGAGAAGAATATAGATTAGTTATAAAAAATAGGTGTCCTACTCGGATAGGACATCCCCCCTAGGCACCCACTGCTGCCCCAGAATGTTCACCACCCTCCAAGATGGTGCAATGTAGGCCGCAGTAGGCCAGGTTCAGATTTGTCCGTAGTCGTAGGACCAGGACTTGGGCCTACGATCAGCACCATCGATCGGCATTCAATTGGATGGTCCTGATCGCAGGCTGTGGAGACATTGGGCCATGTCCAGCGCTATATAGTTGTACCAGTGCCCAGCATTCGACATTCAGTCCTGCTAGTGCACTTCTTGAGCAACGCGATGCTGGAGAGCAGCACCAGGATTCTTGAGCTGCACTGAGGAGAGTAGAGGAGTAGGGGTAGGAGGTGCGGAGGCTGGAGAGCCATAGCCACGGGGCAGAGGTCACTTACCTGGGCGCCATAGCCGGTCTTTGCTCCCGGGACCGGCATCAGAGCCACCATCGGCAGTTGTCAGTATGATGATGTCAGCAGCGGGTGAGAGAGGGAACCATTTCGATCTTCCTCCTCTTCTCCGTCCTGCTTCTTCTTCAACCCTCCATAGCGACTACCTTCCTTGGCTTTCAGAGAGAGAGAGAGAGAGAGAGAGAGAGAGAGAGAGAGAGAGAGAGAGAGAGAGAGAGAGAGAGAGAGAGAGAGAGAGAGAGAGAGAAATGCCAGGCAGGTTGGCGCCCAGGTTCTGTGGGACCCAAACTGATTCTACACTCTGAGGGAGACAATTATTGGACATTCAGGGGAGACTATTTTTTTTACAGCATCGAGCTCTTCTGGCAAACAACCAGAAAGAAAGGTGTACACAAGCAGAAGACCAATGACAAATCCCCCTTCTCTCTCCACTCACTCTCCTCTTCCGTATCTCCCCCAATCTTATTCAAACCAATGTCCAAGTCTCCCTCTTAGTGCCAGCACAACATGAGGTCCACCGTATCCATGACCTTCACCTCCATCCACTTCGGACAGGTGATGGCTATGGCGGACTACATTGGGGCCCTGCCCCGATGTTCAAAAGACATTGCACAAGCAGCTATGTCCTCTACACCTGAGGCCGCCATGCCTAACTCTGCCCAGTGCTACCCCTTTTCGGGGCCTTCCAGATGCAGCGCCTACAAAGGGCATGAAGATGATGTCCACCATACCCAGGTAAGTACCTCTGGCCACTCTCCTCCTAGTCCCCTTCTTCTTCCTCCTCCTTCCTGGTGCTGTCCACCATCGCCAAGGTGGAAGCCCAGGCGCTCCAGGCAGCACTCTTCCACCAAGTGCTCCAGCAGCGTGACGCCCAAACGTGCACTCCGCAAATGAGGAAGAGCAATGAGCTCTTCCCTGGCCAGCCTCTTGGTCGATGACTTTCAGGCCGCACGGCCTCCCAAGTAACCGGTACCTCCTCCCTTTCAGAGGGAAACATAATGGCAGGTTTGATATCGTCCACTACAGGCCCTAGACTAGGACTTCAGGACTGGTACCTAGACCTAGTGCAATCAGACTCGTTCTCAAACACACTTTTCATGCATGTAAACAGCAACGCAGYATACTGGCGACATGCGCCCACTCAAAACTCAGAGATATGGCTTTCAGATACGAGTTCACTCTCAATTGGCTATGGCGACTTCAGCGCCCAAACATCTCACTGTTCACATACCTGTCTCTTATACACATCTAGATGTGTATAAGAGACAGGGATATCCCACGCACGTCACTTCTCTAACATTCGAGCACACACACACACTCACTACTAACTACAGCTATGGCAGCTATGGCTGCCTCTAACCTATCGCTATGCTAACTCCTCCCCTCTTGCCCATTGCGTCCTCCGGGCTCATCTGCAAACCTCCTTGCACAAGTCGCTGTGGCAGCGCTTCCGCATGGCTCACGCAGGAATGAATGAATGGCTGACTCAAAGAACTTTTGTATTACTAAATTTGTACGTGCCTCTGCAGGCAAAGGAACAAAAACTGCATACTTACTAAAACGGTCGACTATGACCATGACTTGGCTCTTACCATGTTTGCTCTTGACTTGCGTGTCCATGAAGTCTATGGACACTGAGTGTCCCGGCTGATCCGGAATAGGCAAGGGTCCGAGAAGACCTAGGGGCGCGCATGTAGTAGATTTGTTTCGCTGGCATACTTTACAACTGCGGACATACTCTATGCAGTCGTTCTTCGTCCCTGGCCATGTGTACGCACGCATCAGATAGGCTAACGTCTTTTGCCAACCGAAGTGTCCCTCAGTATCGTGACATTCCCTAGAATTAGACTGCGAATCTCTTCGCTATTGGGAACGCACAGGCGGTCAAACACATTAGTCTTCTCAAACAGCAACCCGTCTGTAGTGCGGTAATCTGGTTCGGTCTCTAGGGCCTCTCGAACTCTCTTTAGGAAGTCGCTATAGATAGGGTCCTGCGTATATGCTTGTTTCACTTTCTCCTGCAGGTCTCTCTCTATATCCAGATAATGTACTACGGCTCCAAAGTAGTCTGATCTCCTACTTAGAGCATCCGCCACTACATTGTACTTGCCCTTCACTGGCTTGAGCTCAAAGTYGAATTGGTCTATCTCTGCGGCCCATCTGGTCAACTTAGGTGTCATCTTGGCCCGGGTCTTCAACCATCTAAGTGTTTCATGGTCCGAGTAGACTTTGAAGTGCCTCCCAAGCAGGTAGTGCTTCCAATGGTCTAAAGCCTGCCTGAGGGCGTAGAGTTCTCTTTCGTACGTGGAAGTAGCGACTTTCTCACAAGGCATCCTCGCGGACATGAACTCTACGGGTCTATATCCATTGTCGTCATCTTGTTGCAACACGGCGCCTATCCCATACTGACTCGTGTCCGTGGTGACGACAAATGGCAAGGACGGGTCTGCAACCTTGAGGACAGGATACTCTATTAACGCGCGCTTTAACTTTTTGAGCGCAGACGTACAGTCTTTATCCCATTGCCAGATTGTCTCTTTCTTCAACAACCTGCGCAAGGGAGCGGCGATAGTGGAGAAGTTCCTCACGAACTTCCTGTAGTAGTTAGCTAAGCCTAGGAACGACCGCAACTCTGTCAATGTGCGGGGCGTCGGCCAATCTCTGATCGCCGCGATCTTGCTGTCCTCTGGCTTAATGCCATCTCCGTCCAACACGTGGCCCAACTATAAGACTTGCGTTTTGGCCCACTCGCACTTCTTCGCGTTGATCTTGAAGTTGGCCTCTCTAAGCTACTCCAAGACCTGCCTCAGATGACCCTGGTGCTCCTGGAGGGTCTTACTAAAGACTAGGATATCATCTAAGTAGAGTACTACAAATTTATCTAACCATGGTCTAAACAAGTCATTCATACAACGCTGAAAAGTAGCTGGAGCGTTGGTCAGTCCAAAGGGCATCACTATAAACTCATAATGCCCATATCTAGTCCGGAATGCAGTCTTGTACTGATCATCAGGATGGAC